GGCGACACCGAGGAGCTTAGTGGAATCTGCAACCTGGAGTGTGTTGGGACCTAAATTAATGAAGGGGGTGGGAAAACGTTGGAGTAGAGGTTGATGTGCATAACCATGGTTTTGGTATGGTTGATGGTGACGTGGTTGTTGGTGGCCCAGTTTTGGAGACTGTTCAATAAATCCTGAAGGGCGGTATAGTCGGGAGCAGAATTGTTGATGCTGATCCCAATGGTGGAGTCGTCGACATATTTCCAGCGAGCAGGGGTTTCTCTTAGGGCATCATTGATAAGCATAAGGAAGCATAGTGGTCCCATCTTGGTGCCTTGGGGGACGCCACAGGTGAGTGACTGAAAGGTGGAGACAGCCCCTCGGAAGCGTACAGCTTGGCGTCGGTTACTAAGGAAGTTTGTAAGCCATGGCATAAGACTTCTTCGAAACCCGAGGTCGATAGCTTTGTTGATAATTAAATTGTGGTCGACTAGGTCGAATGCTTTAGTGAAGTCAATGAAGGCGACAGCTGCAGACGTTTTTCTTTTCTCCAGATGGCGGTATATGTAGTCGAGAAAGCTGACAAGACAGTGAGTGGTGGAGGAAGTTTTCATATTACCAAATTGCTGAGGATCTACGGTTCCTACAATATCAGCATAAGCCCAGTCAAATACAAAACTTTCACAGATTAAGCTGGGTATTGGGGTGATTGCAATGGGTCGTAGCTGATTTAAGGATTGTGGGCTGGTTGACTTGGGCACTGGTGACACATAAGAAGTCTTCCAGTCAGCTGGGAAGCATTAATGATGGAGAAGAGTGGTTTAGCAAGCTCCGAGGAGAACTCCTTGAAGAGTTTCATTGGTAAGTCAATAGGGGTGGTGGAGTGTTTTAACTTCAGTTTGTCCAGACGTTTTGCTACATCAAATTCTTCTACTAAGTCAGTGGAAAAGGGGGCTGGTAGGTAAGCAGGGAGTAGGTAGTATGCAGCTACCAAACAGGGAGGTACTATCGCCTGGGAAGATATTGGAAGTATAATGTGTTGTCTAATGGTAAACCCTGCTGCTATATGGCATCACGAAAATTGTGACTAAGTCCCAGGTTGCTGATCTGACTTCGGCCTCATTTACACACAATTGCAGGGTCTCAATTGTTTCTCTTACTATTGACAACACAACATACATATATTGTTTCTCACTTTTGATTTTTTTGTTCATTTTTGCATTTCTTTATGGCTCTTTATTATTATTATTATTATTATTATTATTATTATTATTATTATTATTATTATTATTATTATTATTATTATTATTATTATTATTATTATTATTATTATTATTATTATTATTATCATTATTATTATTATTATTATTATCATCATTATTATTATTATTATTATTATTATTATTATTATTATTATTATTATTATTATTATTATCATTATTATTATTATTGTTACTATTATTACTATCATTATTATTAATACCTTTTCGCCCCCCAGACCCCGATGTGGGTCAGTGACCTGTGCCAGGGTGGGCTAATCCCGTAAAAAAAAAAAAAGCCGGGGAGCATCTGGCATATAGTAGCGAAATGATTATTTGATTGCTCACCTGCGTCAACATTAGTGAGATGGCTAAGGATGGGGGGGGGGGTGTCTTATTGTTTAGTCCACAGAGTTCTTTACGCTTACCATACCACTGACTGATGTTAGTCTGCTTCAGGTGTTGCAATTTGGTTGGGTAGTGAGACTTATTTGCAGTGCGTATTTTCCCCTGATGACTCGGTTGCGAAGGGACCTGTAGTGGTTGTGGTCATTGAGATAAAAGGCTCTGTCTCTCTGTTGCATAAGTCTTTTGATCCTCGGTGTGATCCAGGGCAGATCAGCTGGGTGAGATTTGACTGACTTCTCGGGAAAGAAGTGGTGGTGAGCTTCCGTGGTGGTGTTGGTATAATTTATCCATTTGGTGTCCACGTCATTCACACTAAGTACTTCAGTCCAGGGATGGTGAAATATCCACTGCCCGAAGAGACGCACTGCAGAGCCATTAATCGGCCTTTAGGTCTTGATGTAGGGTCTCTGTACTTGAGTGGGAGTGGCAGCTGGGGACCAGAGCACTGATAGGTGTGTGCTACACCCGATAGGAGGCTTTGGTTGAGTTGGCTGGTACTAGTCTTCTAAGTCGGTTTAGATAAGGTCAAGGGTATTTTGACAGTGTGGGGAAGTTCACAACTTGTGATAGTGACAGCTGGTCCTGGATATCAGTGGTGTCAATTCCATTATAATCCCCGCATAATATTAACTTGGCATATGGATACCTAACTCTTAGGTGGTCTGAAGTGGTAATGAGATGATGGATAAGAGTGTCTCTGGTGGGTGAGCGAGGCGGATGCTGTGTGCATGTGTGTGTGTGTGTGTGTGTGTGTGTGTGTGTGTGTGTGTGTGTGTAGAGGAGTAGTGGAGTAGAGGAGTAGAGGAGTAGTGGAATAGAGGAGTAGAGGAGTAGTGGACGAGTGGAACAAGTTAACAAATATCATCATTAACTCGAATACGCTGGATAGCTTCATACATAGGTTGGATGGAAATATGAGCAATAGTGGTTGGGTGTAAATGGGACTGGCCAGTATGGGCCAATAGGCCCGCTGCAGTTTCCTTCATTCTTATGTTTTCATGTTCTTGTGTGTGTGTGTGTGTGTGTGTGTGTGTGTGTGTGTGTGTGTGCGCGTGTGTGTATGTGTGTGTGTACGCTCGAGCTCTCAACGAGGGGCTGATGAACAACCCAACAACGAACAACCAAAATTCCAGTGCCGAATGAGGTTCCATTAAAGCTGTCATCACAAAAACCTATAGCGAGACCCTCGGCCAGATCCATAGAAATCACCAGGATTGGTTTGATGAAACGACCTGGAAATGGTAAACGTGCTGCAAGACAACCCTCAGTCTCGGACCAAAGCTTATACCCTCCACGAGAAGAAAGAGGAGGCCCATCGCGAACCTCGCAAACTTATGAACGATTTATGGAAAAAACATAGCGTGCGAAATGCAAAAATTTGCGGATGAACACATAATGCGAAAATTTTTCAATTCCGCTTAAACATTATATGGCCCAACTCCTCATGGCGTGGCCCCCCTCCGCTCATCCGACGGTAACTCCCTAATTAATAATGAAGAAGGCATCCAATAGCGCTAGAAATAGCACTACCACTCGCTGCTCAACCGAAACATAGATGCTGGTTATCCTGACCAGCCCAGCAAGCTCCTCAGCACCCAAAGCTGACCCACCTCAGCTATCCTCCATCCCTGGATGAGGTAGCTACTCCCATCAAACAGATGAAAAATAACAAAGCCTCAGGGCCTGATGGAATCCCAGCTGAGGTGTATAAAGCAAGAGGACCTCTGCTTACCAGCCATCTCCACTCTCTCCTGGAGAGTATACGATTAAAGGGGGAAATCCCCCAAGCTCTTAAAGACGCCACCATCGTCAATCACTGGGCTGCATTTGATAAAACAATTCATGAGGTGCGGGGTTTCTTAGCTGATTCTTTATGTATTTTGCGTGCTGATTCCAAAAATGTCATTCATTTTGCCCAATCAGGTCAGATTTTTATGCTATGGGAATTAGGAAAAAATCGAAATTCTTAAATATGATGTCAAAATTTTTATGCAAAATATATCATAAGAAATGTAACCACAACACATAGGACCAAAATATGTCAACTACATAGATGCCTTTACAGTTAGACATGCATAAATGGCTGTCGCAGAGAATTTCTTTGGTGGTTGGTGTCTGGGGCGTCCCGTTTCAGACACCAACAGTAGTCGGCGAGCATGTTGATATCCCAGCGACCCTGGTACCGCTCCTCCATTACACTGATATCTTGATGGAAGCGTTCTCCTTGTTCCTCACTCACATCACCACAGTTCTCTGGAAAGTAGTCCAAGTGGGAGCTGAGGAAGTGCATCTTGATGGACATGCGTGCACCAAGAACTTTGTAGCTCAGAAGTAGGTCCTCAACAACTCGTCCATACTCTGGACTTCTGTAGTTGCCAAGAAAATTGGAGACAATAGACTTAAAGGCATGCCAGGCTTTCTTCTCATTTACATCCATGCTGCAATCAAACTTGGGATCTTTGAAAAGCTCTCTGATCTGAGGGCCATCAAAAATTCCTGCATTCAGCTTTGCCTCACTGACTTTTGGAAATTTTTCTTTCAGAAAATTGAAAGCCTGGCTTTTTTTGTCCAGTGCCTTTACAAAGTTTTTGAACAGACCGAGCTTGATGTGCAGTGGCGGAAGAAGAATGTTCTGCGGATTCACCAGAGCATGGGCAACAACATTGTGAGAACCTGGAGTAAGTCCACTTCTTGCAGGCCAGTCACGTTGCATGTAGTGCTGCTTGTCTGCTCGACTATCCCACAGACAGAGGAAACATGGAAACTTGGTGTAACCACCTTGTAGGCCCAGCACCATGGACACAACCTGTGGAAAAAACAGATTAAAAATATGTTTAGCTGAATAGTTTTATTATTAAAAAATATTAACACTTCATAATATGACAGTATGTCGGCAGACATAATTACCTATTAGAAAAACTGTCAACAAAATATCAATTTTTGAAAGCAACTGTTTTTGGTGTATTAAATTACCTTCAAGTCTCCACAGATCTTCCAATTGTGGTCTTTATACTTCAGAGCAGTTAACAGATACTCCATGTTGTTGTAGTTCTCATCCATCTGCACTGAATGCCCCACCGGAACAGACACGACCTGGTTTCCATTGAACAACAACACAGCTTTCAAGCTTCTTTTTGATGAGTCAATGAAGAGCCGCCACTCTGATATATTGTATGATATTCCCATAGCTGCAATGAGTCCACTGATATTGTTGCAATACACCAATGAAGTTTCCTTGTCGAAACTGAAGAACTTGCGAAATTCCTTGTCACGGTTACGGTACCAGGCAAATGTTGTTCTTGGTGCTAAGACATTGTGTTCGCAAAGCCGTGATCCTAGTAGTTGAGCTGACTCCTAAGACAAGCACAACTCTCTTGTTAAATCATTCAACTCAGCTTGACTGAAGGGTATGGGCTCTTTTGCAGAAGCTGTGGGCGAGTATGTACTAGAAGCGTCAATCTCTTCTATGTCTTCATCGATATCATGATCGTCATCGAGTATCATGTCCCTATAGTTTTCTGGTGGAGTTGGAATTGGTATTCCCGGTCCGTGAGGAACTGGTTTGATGGCTGAGGGTACATCTGGATACTTAACATGATGTTTGTTCTTCCTGTTTATACCTGAAATGTGAACGAAAGATTTAGTATCAAGATAGCATAACATATTAACTTACAGATATATTTAAGAATGCATGAACATACTGCATTTGATATATTAGTATTGATGTATTAGTATAACTCACCCTGAAGGTTTGTCATGCAGAAGTAACAGTCCGTGGTATGATCTCTGCCTTCCCTCCATACCATAGGAATGCCAAATGGTAGACGTTGAATCTTCTTGTTGCTCCAGCGCCGCAGATTTTCAGCACATGTTTTGCAGCACATGTGAGGGGCAAAAGCTTTATCTTGGTCTCCAAGTTTCATTCCAAAGTATGCATGATATAAGTTTTTCACTAGGGGAGTAATGGTGCACTGTCGGTCTGTCATTGTTACACAACCGCACACATAGCAAAACCTGTTCGGGTGGTTCTTGCACTTCCGATTTATGATTAAATGTACAACTCTGTAAGAAGAAAAAACAGGTGTGTATATGATTAGAAATATGCTTGTGTGTGTGTGTGTAAGAGAGAGAGAGAGAGAGAGAGAGAGAGACGCACACACTCCCACTTTCTTGAAGTCTCGAGAGACACTGACTGAGGGTCTAGACTTTAGAGGCACATCGGGGTGGTTGCTAGTACATGCCATGTACCACCAGATGAAAAGAAATTTAATTGTGGAAAAATATATGTAAAAAAACACGGACATATACTCATTTCCTTTGCGTCACGGAGGACATCTAAATGGCCGGCGAGCACGTGGGTGTATTTAAATGCATTGTAAGGGCATTAAAACTGACCGAAATCTTTTCTGTGAGGCTTGCCAATGTCTCGGATGATTTTTTTAATGAACGAATATGAGGACCCCATTTTGAGCGAAAAATGCCAATATTTTACCTGAATCTCCGCTTAAAATGCTATAGCACAAAATTCTGACCTGATTGAGCAAAATGGATAACATTTTTGAGATCAGCATGCAAAATACACCCAGAAAAGCTTAATAATACACAAAACTCAAAAACTATGCAGGGCAGTGTAATTATAAGAATAAGAGAGACCAGTCAGACTGTAGCAACTACTGTGGAATCTTGGTGCTCCCCGTAGCAGGCAAAATTATCGCCCGAGCCCTCCTAAACAGACTTCTTCCTGAGACGGAAAACTTCCCCCCAGAATCTCAATGTGCATGGTTTTAGACCATCACGTGGAACCACAGACATGAACTTTGCTGCCCGCCAGATACAGATAAAGTACAGAAAACAGCGTCGTGACCTGTAATATGACTTTCATCGACCTAACAAAGGCCTTCGACTCGGTCAACAGGGAAGCCCTCTGGTGGACCCTCAGCCGTTTTGGCTGCGCACCAAAATTCATCACCATTGTGAGGCAACTCCACGATGCTATGAACGGCAGTGTCCTGCACAACGGCACCCAGTCTGAGCTCTTCCCCATCCAAACAGGGGTTAAACAAGGGTGTGTACTGGCACCAATTCTCTCTTCCATTTTCTTGGCTGCTTTCCTTACTCGTGCCAGTGCCAATTTAGCCGGCGGGGTGGACATCGAGTAGTGGGTGAGGGGGAGTCTTCAACATAAGACGACTCCAGGCAAGAATTAAGGTGTCAGTAGCTTCCTTTACTGAACTTCAGTATGCAGACGACCTCACCCTTGTTGCTCATACTAAACACTATCTACAGGAGTTCCTGAACACCTACGCAGATGCGTATGCACACTTCGGCCTTGAGGTGACTGTACATAAGACTCAGATCCTCTTTCAACCTACTCCTTGTTCAGACACACCTCCACCATCCATCCAGCTTAGCGGTACTACCCTCTCAAATGTTACCCACTTTCAGTATCTTGGCTCCCACCTGTCTACCACCGCAGACATTGATGAAGAGCTTCAACATCGAATCAAATGTGCATCTCAAGCCTTTGGCAGGCTCCAAAACTGTGTCTTCAACTGTAGGGAGCTGAAATTATCAAGCATTGGTTCCTCCCCACCCTCCTATATGGCTGTGAGACATGGGTCACATGCAGGAGATCCCTCAAGACACTTGAAAACTTTCACCAACGTAGTCTACGTTCCCTCCTCCAAGTTTGCTGGGAATACAAGAGAGCAAATGCCAGTATTCTTGCTGACACCAACTGTAGGAGCATCTAGGCTACCATTATCCATGAAAAACTATGATGGACTGGCCATGTTACCCGCATGGGCGACAGTAGACTGCCAAAACAGCTACTTTACAGTTATCTAACGAATAATAAACGTAACACTGGCGGGCAATTGAAAATTGTCTTAAGACAAACCTGAAAATGTGCCAATCGACCCCCCTCACCTGGGAGTCGATTTCTCCACATCGTAACGCTTGGAGATGCACCATACGAGAAGGTGTCAATACTTTCGAGTTAGCCAGACTGCAAACCGAGGCTGACAAGCGCCAACGCCGGAAAGACGCTGCCACCGCCCCTCCCGCACTAGATGCAGCCCTCCACATGTGTAACGAATGTGGATGACCCTGTGGGTCCCGTATCGGCCTCTTTAGTCACCTTAAAACTCACCAACCTAGGTGACACACTTAGTAACTCATATCATTGTATCATAGCTGGATGATCATCATACTCGATTCCGAGTGACAGCAAAGTAGTAGTAGCAGTATGTGTGTGTGTGTGTGTGTGTGTGTGTGTGTGTGTGTGTGTGTGTGTGTGTCTGTGTTTTTCTCAATATGCTTCACAGTGCTAAATATTTTTCATCTCTCCCTTATTTCTCTCTTCATCCCCTCCCCTATTATTATCTCTCTCTCTCTCTCTCTCTCTCTCTCTCTTTCTCTCTCTCTCTCTCTCTCTCTCAGTGTCCTTAAAGAGCTGAACCCACCACCACATACTAGTGACCAAATTCACACAGATTCGTATGTTGAGAGATTGTGAGATGGAGTACCATCGTACGATATGTTTTCCATGTGTGGAGACAGGAGTTTGTGGCAGCGCCCAGCTGTGAGTCACCATCCGACGCTGCTATAGTAAAGTCTGCAATCTGCAAAGAACTTGGTCTATCATTCAAACCTCTCACATGGAGCAGTGAGTAGGATGCCGGGGCCTGACACGCCATAACAGCCCTGACGAGGACGCCAACATGGCCCCTACACGTCCACGATTCTCGACGCCCTCAAGGGGACGCCAGGGCATCTCTACACCGGTGGGGAACACCATGCGCGCCCAGCAGCTCAGATGGCGTCTCTAGCTACTGGCGGCGACGGTCATGCTCCTATGCCGGTCATGAAGCCCTCAGCAGCTTTTTTTTAGTTTAACAAACTTATTGACAAAGCTTGTTGTACAGTATGCCTATTCTGAGTAATTCAGTCAGGTCTTGACACTGAGGGTGGTATCAATTTTCACTGCTATGCAGGACAGAGGTTCATACACAAAGAAATACAACATATTCATTAATAGCTATATATATATAGAGGTCAGATTCATGTGGGTAATGTCACTGTTCACTGCCATGCAGGACAGAGGTTCGTACACAAAGAAATACAACATATTCATTAGCAGTATATATAGGTCAGTGGTTCACAAACATTGGACGTCATATTCTAATTGAAGACTAATCAGTGTGGGCTAGCAAATTTGAGATAAACAGCAAGAATGTCCTCAAGCAACCCCGATTCAATGTAGTAATTACATAGTTCAAGATACAATAAGTCAGGTGGCCTGAAGTCTTTGACAGTGTCACATTCAATAATATAGTGTTCAAGTGTATGCTTTAAAGGTTTATCACAAAGTTTACATGCTGAGTGTTCCGGTATGGGTACAGAGTTACTAACTTGCCAGATGTGTCTGTATCCTAGCCTAATTCTGGCCACGACTACATCACATGGTATGGTTCTGTCCTTATGCTGGCCATACCGGTACCTGTTGTCACAAAATTTGTCATATTTACTAATGCTACAACTGCCAGGTCTCTCTGCATTTCTCACTTCTTCTAGATCAGAGTTCATGATTCTGACTTGAATGTTTTTAAGTACAGCATTGGACAGGCCAAGGTCACGGTCAACATTTTCTTTCTTACATGCCTCATTGGCCAGTCTATCAGCACGGTCATGATACCTAATTCCAACATGGGATGGGATCCACACAAATTCGATACGAAAGTTGTTCTCATTGGCAGTTATCACATTCCTTTTAATATCACATACAACTCTAGACATAGAGCCTGACGGGCTGTTCTTTGATTTCAAAGTACTTTGAGAGTCACAGAATATCACCCCACCTCCATTTTCTTTAAGGTAGTCTGTGGCTAAGTAGATTCCAGTTAGTTCACTTTGTGTTGTGCTGGCCCAGTTGTTCAGCCTTTGCTTGTTTGACACTATCATCTCTTTTTCTTTATATATATTACACTTACACAGCCTGTTCTACCTGTGTTTGTCTGCACAGAACCATCAATAAAAGCATAACAATCACTTGATTTAATACTCTCTATGGGTCTGTTAATAGTTTCCAGTGTGACACATCTCATCACATGGGTGTTTAACATTTACTTACTACCCATTGGAGTGTAATTAAAAGGGACTGATATATCCAGCCAAGAAGGAATGGCATTAATGGGTTCGTCTGGGGTGATTGGGACATTCAGTTTCAAGAGATCTGCAACACTTTTATGAAGCCACGCCCCAAAGAGAGTCTTTTGTGGAAGGTTACCGAGATAGTCGGGATTACTTAGATAGAACATCAACTCAGTTTGAGCTGTAATTTGGGGACCATTGTTGTTCAAAACTTTGAAACGAAACATGGTATAAAGTAGAGCTATCCTCTCAGATAGGGAGGGCAGTCCGAGCTTTTTCCTCATGTTTACAATTCTGGTTGATTTTGGGCAACCTAGAATGATGCGCATTGCGCTTGGCTTCATTTTGCACTACCTCAAGGCTGTTGAGTTTTTTAGGTGGAATAGTCACAAGATGGAGAGCATGATAGTCAACTACAGAACGAATGAAGTGAAGATAGAAAGTACGAGCATAGGTGATGTTAGTTCCATAGCCCTTGCCAACAAGGGTTCAGAGGGGTTTAATGCACTGCATTAGTTTGGCACGAAGGTTGCCGACAAAGTTTGCATCATTCACACAAATTCCAAGATATTTATAGGAGCTATATAGTTCCAAGAGCATGCTGTTAATGTTAAAGCCAAGAGGCAGAGGGTGAGCAGGACGAGGATTGAGGACCCTCGTCCTGTCAACAGATATTATGAGACCACATTCCACAGTCCTCCGAGCAAATACATCCAGCAAGGATTGGAGCCTGAGCTTAGTCTGTCTCATAATGCAGATATCATCAGCATAGCATATTACAGCCTCGTTTGACTGAACTGGAATGTCAGCAATAAGCTTTTGCATCAGTATATTAAAGAGCATAGGACTTAACACTCCTCCCTGTGG